TTACTAGTGGTACGAATGGCAATAATGAAATAGACCAATGAATAACAGTGCTGACTCTCTCTGCAATACAGTACCATTTACCAAAAGCTCCTCATGGATTCCATGGATTCCATACATACATTTGAATACCTCCTGTGTTCTGGGCCTCTGAAAAGTTAGCTGTGAGAAAAAAAAAATCCCTCTCTCATATAGAGTGGGTGTTGAGTTGGCCTGATAAAACAAGTAAGTCAAGAACTGTCTTTTGCAGATGAAGATATTCTAAAGGTTCATTAAAACTTAGCTTTAGGGGCTGGGGGATGGTTAGGAGCGTGTACTGCTCTGGCAGGGGACCCATGACAAGTGCCTGTGACGCCAGCTCCAGGGAATTTAATCCTCTCTTCTGGCCTTTGAGGGCACTGAGCTCATGTGCATAAACCCACATAATATATTAAACACATAATTTAAATTATTGAAAAAAAGATGACTTTAAGTCATCAGTTTTTTAGAACACCTCTTATCCTAGACAAAATGATGTCCTTGGTACTTTCTTCTCTTTCTTAAAGCTTTGAAATCCCAGCACGTGTTGTGTGCTGCAATTGTATCTTCATAGATAGAGTGAGTGTCCATACTGAAGGCTTCACCTGTGTTTAGCCTCGTGGTCTTGTCTAGGAGAAGGGCCATCTCATATTAGGAAGTCATCTGTTACAGCTCACCTGTCTGACCTTGAGGGCAAGTAGATCTGGCAAATTATTTACTGCCAGCAGAACAACTGGGCTCTCTGGAATGTGTCTACTTGAAAAAAAAAAATCTTCCTAACCAAGACAGCTAATTAACTTCCTTCGTTTAAGATGTCTTTTAAAAATCAGACTTCCAGAGAAACCCTGTCTCGAAAAAAAAAAAAACTAAAAATCAGACTTCTCACCATTTACAACGACTCACACAGGTATTGGGAATCTTGAAGTTTTTACTCCTTGTGCACCCAAGACTGCTTATCCACAGAAACTAGCTATTGTAGCAGCTACAATGGGCAGAATCACGCATGAAGTCTTCAGTATATGTGAGCAGAGAGAATCCATTGTCAAATACGAGTTGCGTCAGGCACTCTCGACATTGCTTAGCTCTGGTAGTATTATGATCAGAAGATACCACCATATAACAGCACACTAAGAGGACATTACCCTGCAGAATCTAAACACTGGACATCCTAGAGAGAAGCTGCTGACACAAGAGGCTCACACCTGCTCAGGGTTTTCCAAAATCAGTGAGGCCTGTCCTGCCAATGTCAGGGCCTTGTCCCCAGGCAGAAGGCTCAGCACTGGGGACAGGCAGAGAACGGAGTCCCTGAAAAAGGGTTGAGGCTTTTCCTCCATCCCCATGGAATACAGGGCAGTCTGCCCTTGTGCTTTCCCATCATAGGGCTGGAAAGGGGCTCAGGGGACACACATAGGGGCATCTTTACCCAAGATAGATTTGGATGTGCATAGCACCTGCTGCGCCTCAAAGGACAGACAGGTGTGTCCTGGCAAAGACCATGAACAGTCCAAACGTCTGCCTTCTGTTCTATCCGGCCAGGATGTGTGCATGCCACATGAGTGGCATGGGTGTGCAGCGAGAAAGCAGAGTGGTGAGCCCACCCCTGCACACCATACTAGTGTGTACTGAACAGTAGCACCAACTATCGGACGCAATCAGCTCACAAGAGAAAGACCGTATCTTTTCCCCAAGTCCTCCTCTGAAGGAAACACAGAGAAGACATGCCAAGAGAGAGCACACCACCCACCCCTTCCTCCTAGAGGAAGATAGAGTTCAGCCCTACTCACTCACTACCTCTGGTGTCCTCCATCCCAAAACTGGCCCATCCTGAGGAGGGAAAAGTTAGAATCAGCAACGAGATAGTATATTACATCTTTTCTATCTTCCAGTCACTTCATGACTGAAAGTGACCAGGAAGCTATGCTACCTACCTAGAATAGTAAGTGGTCTCATACCTACCTGTGAGAGCCTGGTCCATTAAAAACTAAGGGTGAAAAGGGAATGAAACTTTTATGTGTTTTGGTAACTATGGAGTTGAGACTTCCGGGGGAGCAGCCCCATTTCCAGGTATTTGCCTGCGGCTCAGAAATCCAAGCCCCTCTCAGTGGGCCCTCTGCCGTCTGGTGAAGTCCCACACAAGTTCCCAGAAGTTAGTATATATGCCAACTCCGTGGGGCCCCGGCCAGTCACTTGGTCTCTCTGGATGTTGAAGTCCTCTCGGTGACTGGTGGCATGTTAGCTCCTAGTCCATACAAGAGCTAGAGGCTTTGACTCACGTGGCAGAATTTACTCTTGATGTGGGTGAGAGGGTTCACCGGGTTGAGGGCATCCTATGAACACATTTAGTGCCAACTAAGCCTGGAGTCTGTACAGGTGACCCTCTGTAGACGCAACTAACAGCAGATCAAAAGTACTGAACATGCTGCATGACTTTGTCATTCTTCCCAAGACAGTAGAGTATCCACCCATGTGTTACGTTCTTTCCAGTGTGCGGGAGGTGTGGGTAGGTTATGCCCTGGAACCGATCCTTCATAGAGACTGAGGGACACTGTACTTTTAAATCAGAAAGAAGCTATTAGGGATAGGGAAGGTAGGGTTAATAGCCCCAAGACTTGACTTGCTGGAGAATGAATTTTTGGGAAATAGGAAGATGATCCTCTTTATAGAGAAAACGGCTTGAAGCTTCAAGTGGGAGCAATAAATGGGAGATGGCCAGACCCCAGGGATGTAGCTCCCTTACAGAGTACCAGGCATCTGCACTCTGCCTCCAGCGCACTGGGCAGACGGCAGAGGACCAAAAGCAAAGGCACAGTGCGGCGGGGAAGCATCTTAATGAGAGAGATGCTGACGTCTGTCTCTGCGATGGTGGGAGAGGAGGAAACTTAATCCGGACGGATGAGCTGGCTCCAATAGTTTGTTAATGGCCGAAACTTCCCCTTGGTGGGTTTCAGAGACGTATTGTGGGTGTATGTGTCCCCTCCCTGCACTGATCTTTGTCCGCTCCACACATGGGACTTGCTAAGTGACTTCAGACCATATCCTATTATTCAGTTTCAGTGTTTTGGGTTTTATTTGGGGGAAGGAGAAGGACTCTGGTTTTTGACAGTTTCCCTGAGCAAACCTCCTGCCTTGACCTCCCAAGTCCTAGGATCACATAGCCTATTTATTACAGTGTGTCTCATGGTGACAACATTCACGGGAAGGACTCTGAAAGAGTCGGGCCACAAGCACCACAGGTTATATGGAAGTCTCTGCCACAGCACCCGGGAGGGGGTGTGGGTTGGTGGAGCATTTGATTCTGAGCACGCACTACAGTTTTAGATTCCTGCTCGGTTAGTGGAGAGCCCAGTTAAGAAGATGCTGGCTCACTGCACCCCTAAATGGCTGCTGAGATTCCCTAGCTCTGGTCCCTCCCACTCAACCAGGTGGGGTCTTCCAATACACCCTCTGCCACAGGGGATCAAGCACCTGTCGTTCCTCAGTCCCAGGGCCCTGCCCTAGAGACCGCTGGTAGCCATTTACTGTTTATTTTTGACCATTGAGGATAAGAACATCCAGATGTTTAACTGATTTTTAAAGATTTCCGTACCCATCTGTCTTGAATTCAATGAAATAATTACTTTCTGAAAATAACACTATGAAGAGGGAAAGGATGCTGCTTTTTCTTTATGGCAAAAGTAAAAAATAGTTTGCTTTTTCTGAGGTGTGAATTTATTGGTAATTTCCCTTGATAGAGCACTAATGCGTAAATGGTCTCGCCCCCCTGCCCCAACCCCCTCCCAGTCAACCCAACATACTTTTAAACAAAATGAATGACTTGGAAGTCAATTATTAAACCTTGAACGCCCCAAGCATTCTTTTTTATTTTTTTTTTAAAGAAATGTAACTTGTATTCTGCTGTTCTCCCTCCCCTCTTGGATAGACGTGGGTAGCTGCCATGTTTTAAATATTGACAAGATAAGACAGTTTTCTGTTTATACCAGCAGTCGTCTGTCTGTGAAATATGGACGAATCAGAACGCTGGATTTCCTTTCTCAGCGATCCATCAGGTCCATAATGTAAGGCCACAAATGATTGTGTTTCTCTTTCTCAACTCGCACTGTGTGCTGTGTTGCGGTCTTGTGTCACTAAGCCCAAGGTACTGCGTCCCAGCAATGCGGAAAATTTGTGCTGTCTGGTGGCTTCCGAGATGCTTTGTCTATGACCCTCCATTCGCTGTGCTTCGTGACTGGTTGGCGTGTAAACACTGTCCTAAAATGAGAAACAGCCTTGGTTTGGTAATCTGCGATTAAAACCTGTCCTGTGTGAGTTTTGGCTTTCATCCTGGGTGTCTGTCTTAACCTTGCTTTTTACAGGGAAAAGGCAAAGGGTAAATTGATATCTTAGAGAGACATGTATATATCCGCCTCATTCTTCCCCTTTCGTACTTCATGTCCACAGCTATTTTGTACTTTTGTGTCCAGTGACTCTGAGGGTCCATGCACTTTATTTGTGAGAAATACTTGACTTGCATGAGATTCCCTGCAACTGATAGAGATGTTTGGGGGAGAAGAGCCCGGGAGGAGGAGGGGCATTCTCAGAGCAACACGGTGGTTCTCAGCCTTTTCCCGTTTGGCAGTATTGATTTGATCTTCGGAACGCATATGAAATTGTGACCCATTTTATTCTGAGCTGCTTAATATTTGAATAGTCATGCTTCACATTTGTATACTTCAGAAAAAGAAATCACTTGAAACGAAAACATTCTGGCATAGATTTTACATTTATATTTTAAATTACAATTCTATTTCCACAGCCGCCGAAACCTTCCCCATTGGCTAGTCTGTGGTCTGGGAGCTCGAGACACTTGGTTGAGAATCACTGGAAATTCTTGAGGTGGCATGTGAAAGGCTTCTCTGGGGGTGCTGCGTTAGGTACATCCATGCATGGGACTTCTGGCTCTTGAGAACCCTGATGTGTGCACACTGCCTGCCCTGGTGCTCCGTGACCCCGAGTCCCCCTCCCAAGTGCACAGCGCTAACATCAGATTTGCAGTGTTCAGACGTGGTCATCCCTGCTCCTCCTCCATAGAGCACGTTCGGCAACGAACAGCTGCATGACCACGTAGTGCTGTTAGTTCTTGGACACTTTTTCAGACACCTGCTGCAGCCCTTGGCTCTCCCATGTGTGAATGTTGGTAGGAGACCCTCCCTTACGATCACGTCCAAATACGTGTGTGTGTGTGTGTGTGTGTGTGAGAGAGAGAGAGAGAGAGAGAGAGAGAGAGAGAGAGAGAGAGAGATCCCAAGCATGGAGTTCTGTGTGGCACTCTAGAAACCCTTAGTGGCTGTGGGAGGTAAATATAATTGCTTCCGTGTGATTGGGTGGCCCTGCTCTGAAGAGCATCAGAATTACAGAAAGTGAAACCTCAGAGTAGCAATTGTCACCTCAAATCCCATTAGCTGTTCATGGGGTGTGCTGAAGAAATAGAGAATAATGTTTGTTAATATTCAGCTCTAAATTTATAAGCAGGTAGGTGGGAGTATCTCCTAGCAGAAGAGATCTAAAAGCTTCTCTTTAAAAAAAAATCAATTAAGTCTCCATTTTAAATTTTTTTTAAAAAAAGAATTATACAAGGCTTAGAAAATATCCTACCTCTCTATAATGTTTGAAAGCTAAGTCATAATCAAGGCTTTTAATTGTTTGCTGATCTCTCTGGGAAAGCTTTTCTTTAGAAGAAAATTAAAAATAAAGAAAACACTTCCTATGTGCCCAGTCTGTGTTTGCTGCGTAGAACGCGCAAGCTGGAACTTTCCCTCTATGTCAGTTCGTGCTGCCTTATAAAATGCCAGAGGTCAAAAGCATTTGAGTCATTGATCTAATAAAAATCTACCAAGAGGCATCCGGGAGTTTTATATAACAAAGTTCAATTAGTGGTATTATATTTCTCAGCTAGTGGTATAAAATAAAGTTTAATTTAATTGCATTATTTTTTATGTGGCCTAGTTCTAAGTCCTTCCCGCTCATCCAGAGTATGAAGTAATGGTTGGTGGTTGTTGGATACCTGTTGGAGAGAAACTGCTCCGTTTAAAACTTTAATATCAAATTATATTTTTCCATAATATTAGAAGGTTGAATTCTTGAAATGCTAATTAGTGATGTATAGTTTCTCCTGTTAAATGAATGTCCTCCAGTGTATTTATTTAAAAATGAAACAAAAAAGCCTTAAGATATACACATATAATACATACATAAAAACATATAATAAATACCAAATAAATGAAGTTTTAAGCCATGACCAAATTCTTAGCATATTACGGTTATTAATCTAAAGAGTTTTCTCTAAGTATTCTGAATACTAAAGAAAGAGCCTGAAGACATTTGTTAAGAGCTATTCAACTCAGTGTCTTCTGTAATTACTTGAAAAAGTCCTCTAAGATCACAGTGTCAGAAACAGTTTTAAATAAGACAAGGTCTCCACCAAAATTGTCCTCATTTTTATTCTAATTAACTGTTGTTGCACCATTGTTTCCAAGCTTAGACTATTCCTCATTACAGAGGGGTTTTTTTATTTGAAGCAAACGACTTCTCTTAGTTCTGTTTGATTTTTATTAATTTTTAATATGAATTTTAAACTGGAAAATTAATGGATTTAATCTAAAACAATTGCATGAAGAAATACAGGTATTGTATGTGTGTACGAATGTGTAGCTCGCTCTTCAAGAGCTAAGTTGAAATTGTTTTATATAATTTCAAAATCATGTAGGCAAAAGTCATTTATCTTTCATTATTTTCTGCTGTTACATATACTAACTACCCAGGCCAGCTCCTCCAAGGTTCATTCCTGCTTTAATTCTACCTTGGGTTGAGACCTAAGGCACCCTTGTTCTCTGAACTCTTTTGTCTTTTCTGGCAGTCAACTAGCAGAGCTGAATCCCAGCCCAAGGCCAAGGTCATTCCTATCTTTTGCTAGCAGACTAAACCCATTTGGAGTTCTTCCTTTCACATTGACTCTTTAAAAAAAAAAAAAAAAAAAAGGCACCGAGCATTAGCATTTTGATTCATCTAAATAGTCATAGATTGGAGAGGTTTTTGTTTATGTTTTTAAGAGAGAGGAAGTTGAATTTCCAGGAAAAAAAAACTCTTTAGTTATAAATCCAATCCAAAGAACACTTTTCTTTCTGAAAATACGTTTCTGGAACTAGCACTAAGCATGACGAAATTTGGAGTCTGTTTCCAGAAAGGTCAATGCATTGCCTGTGAGGAATTTTGAACTATTTGGACTGGAGCAACATTTCAAGACTCCGAGGAAAATAAAGCAGGGATTATATTTCCCTCCCCTAGAATTATCTCCCCCATAGCTTCTTGGGAGGCCCTATTGGATCACTCTGGACTCAAAGCAGATGCTCTGTGACTTTTGGACCAAATGGAGCCACGGGAGAGCAGTTGATGGCAGTGCCCCTCATTTCGTCAGACAGTGGCTGAACAAGCGATCTTTGATGATTACAGTGAAGCGCGTGCCTCGGTTTGTTACACCCAAAATGGCTGCTACAATTTCTAAGGATGACGTAAACATTTGCGTCCGCGTTCGGCTTGCAGCTCTGCATTAAATCTACAGAGCCACATTCAGGTTTAGGCGTGTGATCTAATCAACAGTGCGAGGATGAACCTGTCCATCATCTGCATGCCTAATGCACTAACCTGTGAGACACCCCACTTCCCTGCTTTACGGCACCCACTCCTGGCCAGCCCTAGTCCCAGACCTTCCCCAACAGCCTGCAGAACCCCCAGCCCCTGCCTGTCACGCTCCACCAAGGGTTACCTCAGCTAGCTACAGTAGGGTTGGAAAATCTGTTGCTTGGCTGGTTGTCACGTCAGCAGACACTGGTCCAAAGGATCTTTTGATGTCACCCAAATCTTCCTTTTGTATCATTCCACAGAGTTGCGTGCAAACTTGTGTTGGTCTGTTAACGGCGTCACCTGTGACCTGCGTGTTCGATACCTGTTTGCTGTGTTGTGTCGCTTTCTCAAGGGAGGGTGGGAGGGAGAGGAGCTTAACTGGATGCCAGAGGGTCGTTTGCTAGATTTGGGGGAGACCTTCTAAGAGCTCATGGCTGCAGTGTTTCCAGGGTTATAAAGGTTCTTAGACTCGACTTTAAAACAGGTAGTGAGTTCCACAGGGCCGTCAGGTTGACATCTATATGGGTTCTTAAGGTCAATGCATAACCAGCTTTATAAAGACTAGAAAGAGAATTTAAAAAAAAAAAAAACAGACTTTGAGAAATAAGGAAAAGAAAATGTCAAATATAAAATCAGAGAAAAGCTTAATCCTGAAATTAACTGCAATTAGTTATTACTTTTACGAATAACTCATATAAAGAGAAAATTCAATAGTGAGCCCAGAGATAAAACATAAAGTTCAAAAATAAGTGTTTATACTACTGTTTGAGGTTTTAAATGCCATTATATATTTTAAATGACATGTGTCAAAAATAGCAGAGACTAGGCAAATCAGTCAACACAGACAAACCAACTACTAAAGAAAAACACGGACAGTGGCTAAGAACAGAGCAAGGGCATAAGGAGTTCTCGTTAGACGCTCACTCCCGTGAGAAGCCCAGGGAAGGACAGGACGCTGACCAGGTTCACCTGTGATTCCAGGTGAGCCACGCACAAAAAAAAGGCTCCAGGCGCGCTGCCGTGAAAAGGCCTGTGCCTTTCTACGGGACTCTGAATTTTTCTTCCCGCTTTTCAAAGCCAGTTAGAAAGGTCCAGAAGGCAGAGCCCTTGCCTCATACTTTCTACCTTTGGCAGCTGCCTCTGTCCCACCTAACAGAATTCTACAGTGCACAGAGAGCATGGTGCTCGCTGGTCTGAGCCTTGCCTAGAGGCGCCAGCTTCTGAGCCTTTGGGGTTACCACAGCCTTTCTGGGGATCTAGGTACACACTTCCTGTTTTTCTCCAAGATGGGGCATCTGGGAGACAGAGACTCCTTGAAAATTCCTCCCAGAACCCCCACAGCGTGTCAGCCCTTCTGCTAGAACTCCACTGAACGTGGTCCCCAGCCAAGCTTTGTTTGGTTTGGGAGCTCATAAGGCCCTGTTATACGCTTCTAACACCTGAGGAAAATAATGTCTTACAATTCTGTAAGACTAGCCAAGTTTGGGTTAGAAGAGAGGAGCGGTGGAGACATTTAGATAGCCCAGTTTTCCTTGTGTCCATTGAGAACAAAGAATTGCATTTTGAGAAGCTAGAAACCTTAGCATGGGAAAGAATAAAACGGACTCTGCCTGTGACATGTAGGTCAGATGAGAGCCAAGGGAAGACCTGCCAGGATAGTGCTTGGAGTATATAAAGGCTCATCCATGTCAAACAAATCAAAGTGACAGTGGATGACGGCATAGCCTCTTTTAGGTCGGTCTTAGTGGGTAGGTGTATCACAGGACATACCATCAATGTGACATGCTTCAGGGTCAGGAGTCTCACATACACGCACATGCTCCTGTGAGCAGAACTGCGTTCCAGAGTGTGGACCACTGCAGTGCCGCAGAAGGCAGCTCAGTACATGCAAGGCCCTCGTAGAAACACTGCATCTATGCAGTTGAGTTCCGATGAGGGAAATTAGCTGTTACCCATTAGTAAGTTCTTATTTTAGTGTCTTCTTTAGTGTCTTACCTGCAAAACCTTTCTCCACAGACAGAAAATTTTTCACAGTTACATGATAATGTCATAGCTGGGAACTGAAATTGAACTATGTATTCTAAGGTAAAGGGAATTCAAGCTGAAATTTTCAGTCAGTCTTTCAAAAAAAAATCAAACATGCTTTTCTGTTGTAACAGAATATTATGAATTGGTAAATTGCTTACAGATATTTTCATGTTTTGTTTTTAAAATTAGTTAGCCTAGGGTTTTAGTCTGAAAATAGATTCATTTCGACCTCTTTTTATACTCAGCTTTAGGAATTAGAATGATAACTAGTTCATATAGAAACAAATTAATAAATATTTATGCATACAATATTACCTAAATGCATTGTGCATTTATAGCTCAGGTGTGTTAGGTAAACCCAGACTAGCTAGAGAGAATGAACCTGCTCACTGCATATACTGCCTCTAAAATAAATGTCATTTCCAGACAGGGGACTGGGGAGAACCTTCCATCACCTTACGACCTCCAAATGAAGCCACAGCCTCAACTCCGGTCCAGTACTGGCAGCATCATCCAGAAAAGCTCATCTTCCAGTCATGTGACTACAAAGCTTTTGTAAGTTACCCAGTATTTGAGCCCAGTGGAGACAGAGGATGTGCCCCTGATCAGTTTTTCAGTCATTGAAACTGTACCAGAATGTCCATCATGGCCATTTCTGTAGGGTTTCTTTTCCCCTTCCTTTTTTTCCTGAAGATGCCCAGGTAATTGGAGCTTTGGGGAGCCCTTTGCGTCTGGTTAGTGTTAAGTTTTGTTCTCTGCCTCTGTATAAAGTGCATTTCGGAAGCCATGTGATAAAGCCCGATTTTAACTAGAATGTTGGCCTAGTATCTGCAAGGCCCTGGGTTCCATCCACAGCTCCACAAATAATAAGTAAAATCAAAGGAAGGGAGTGTGAACGAAGCAGACCTCAGGAGGTCAGGTCTGGCATGTTCTATAAATACAAGATTCTTTCTGCTGTCCTCAGAGATGGGATGGGATTCCAGGACTGGATTTGGTTTGGTTTGGTTTGATTTTATTAGCTGGTCGGTTGGTTGGTGTTGTGTTGTTTTGTTTCGTTTTTTGTTTTTCTTTCTTTTCCTTTTTATGGAATGAAAGGGATCTGTGCTTTCCCAGGAAGTGTGAACAGTCAACATTCAGCAAGTCCTGTAGGCTTTGGAACAGGTGGTGGTTGTCATGACTACACTGGGGTAGGGGCAAGATGGCTGAACCTTGAAACTGACTCTCTTTAAAAGAAATATTTTGCCGGGCGGTGGTGGCGCACGCCTTTAATCCCAGCACTTGGGAGGCAGAGGCAGGCGGATCTCTGTGAGTTCGAGACCAGCCTGGTCTACAAGAGCTAGTTCCAGGACAGGCTCCAAAACCACAGAGAAACCTTGTCTTGAAAAACCAAAAAAAAAAAAAAAAATATTTCAATTAGGGCAAACTTTCCTAAAAATGTAAAAAGACAAAAAGTTGCTTAAGATCGTTTTCCTTAAGGATGAAGACGCAGTCTGGTAATCTCCTCCCAGTCTGGGCATATTACACTGTGCTGTCTCCTTCTCCTGTAGCTTATGGCTTCCTCCAAAGCTCAAACCTGAAATCTCTGAGGCTTTTTGAACAAGGCCCTAGGTCTAGAGCCTAGACTGAGCCTTGGTCACCTTGCCTTACACATTCTCCGTGAACCTGTGCTCTCCTGGTCCTCGGGACAGACAGAAAAGCCCGTGCCTGCATGGTGCCTCCACGGGAACAGGACGCTGTCTTCCAACCTCTTCTGCAACCCTTATTTTAAAATACATGTAAAAATATTTCTAAGGGTATGGAAGAGTGGCAAAATAAAAAAAAAAAAAAAGAACCAGCTGAAGATGTAAAAAGTTGATAAATTAATTGATTTTATTTTAAATGTGGGGGAATGGAGAGGGACAGACAGCGAAGAAGTTTTGCTTAAATTTATTTGTCCCATCAGACACGAGAGAATGTAGCAGGAACCCGTGATTCAGTCACAGAGCATGAATATGGCATATCATGCTGGGGAGGTTTTCCTCTGCTTCCATCCAGCTCCTCGTCTGTCCCTCTGCATCAGGGAGCGAGCTCTGTCCCTGTCAAATGCCAAGCATTCCCAGGTGGATGAAGCACTGGGCGCACAGCTGTGAATTAAAAAAAAATGTCCAAAACTGCGTCTCAGCCTCCTAACTGCCCCATCTTAATTATCTATGCTGCAAAATAAGCCCTAGCAGGGGCCACACAGCCTCGCCTCTCAGCTCTCGCAGACAACCCTGAGATTTCACTGAGAATAGTGTGATTTATTCCTGCGGACACTGCCGCCTCACCAAAAAAAAAAAAAAAAAAAAAGGGAAAACGTTTTTAGATACCTCCATTTTGCAGTTAAATATGATTTGAAAGTTGACATCTTCAGAAAACGCCGCAACGTTTATAAAGATCAATTTATAGCCCCCAGAAGTCACGGCTCACCCTGCCGTGTTCCGCCCATTTACAGGGATCCGTGAGTGCTAGTTGCGTCAAAGTGCTCAACTGCTCACAGCCAAGAAACCCTAGCCGGTGGCCTGCCCATGGTTTGCTTTCAAATCATTACTCATGTTTGTAACTCTCCTTTTAATATGTCCTTCTGATTTTTGTGTGTTTTAGTATTTAGGTTCTATGCTGATAAAAGCCTGCCCATGGTTTGCTTTCAAATCATTACTCATGTTTGTAACTCTCCTTTTAATATGTCCTTCTGATTTTTGTGTGTTTAGTATTTAGGTTCTATGCTGATAAAAGAGCTTAGGGGGACAGAGTCGACCCAAGACGCCTGTGCAAAGATGCGGGTGAGTTTGCCAAACCATTTCATCTTAGTAGCTGAAATACTAAGTGCCGGGTGTGACACACAAATTGCCACCTTTCAGGCCGCCGTTTCCTTCAGCAGTTGGTCTCTTGATCACGCTGGCGTCACATAAAAAGGTGTTTGGGCTCTGCGGATGTTTATACTTGGGTTTATCTGGCTGTAGTTAATGATGCTGTCTCTCTACTAAATTTAGAGCCTATTACATTCGCTTTTGATCATTTTTAGAAGATGAAAGTTAGCTATACACGCTGATCATTCTCCGGATTGGGGGTAATCTTTAGTCTGTTTCAAGAAAATGTTTTCAGCACCGATTTGACAGTCTGAGGACGCTCACTGGAGAGTCTGCTAATACACCAAAACCCATCAAAAGCAGAGCGGTACCAGGAGCGTATGAGATAGAGTGGACTTTGTGTGGCTTCTTCTTAATTGTTCTTGGTTTTATATAAGAAGAGCATTTGATGCTGAGTGGTGTGGAACACATCAGGGCAACAGATACTGGCTAAGTGTAATCGTGAACATCCATGACCGGTAGCCACTAGAACCCTGAGTTGGTTGTTGTTGTTGCTTTGATTTGGTTTGGTTTCTGGTTTTGGGGAGGTTTTGTTTTGTTATTTTGCTTTTTTGAGACAGGTTTTCTCCATAGCTTTGGAGCCTATCCTGGAACTAGCTCTTGTAAACCAGACTGGCCTCCAACTCACAGAGATCCCCCTGCTTCTGCCTCCCTAGTGCTGGAATTAAACGCATGTGCTACCACTGCCTGGTTTAGAACCCTGAGTTTTAAGCAAGGTACATTTCACTTCTCCCCTGAGACTCTTGTTCTCGCTTCCTCCAGAGCTGACGTGTGGATCATATGGAAATATCTGGCACTAAAACATTAAGACTTTGGGACCTGTTCAGAACAGCAAATCATCAGAATCCAATCTCAGACCCTTAGAGAAAGAACCCTAGCTTTTATTTGTGGCCAGCATATCGTCATTAATTTCATGTGAGCAAAGAGTTTGGAGCTTGGATAATGGAAAACATGCACTGAGCTAAAGCAGTTTTGAGACAGATATGAAGTGTCTGGTGCTAATTGGAATCAAATATATGTGAATCTCCATGAGAATAAGGCCTTGGTGTACAGTCACTAATTTAATATCTTGGTCAAACAGGTAGCAAAATGATTGAGATCGTAGTCAAACTCTGAGCATGGTACTAACACATTTTGATAATCTCTCACTGCTTTCCTGCCTTAAAGTTTCTTTATTCAGGACACAATGATAGCTGATAATGTTTAGAGAAGTTAAATACCCTTCCGAGGTCACACGGAGGATAAGTTGACAACCCAGAACAGAGTTTAAGTCCGTCTGACTGGAGAGCAGGAACTTGCAGACCCTGGGTCCCTTGCCACTCCAGAGCCTCTGTTTCCATCCCCAGAGAAGGACTTCAGGTTGGGTCACCTTGAGGAGTTTCCTGGTTTTATAATTCTGGGAATCTTGTGTTCTGAATAGAACGTGTCTGCCCTAAAATGTATCGCCACTAAACAATGAGGAAAAGAGAAAAGTTTCCCATCATCAAATCTTGAAGATTTCAGAGATTGCCAGGAGCCTAAGAAATGAACTTGGCATCTCTTTGTACTAGTCACTGAATTACCGGAGTCCAGCTCCTGCGGGGTTCCAGTCAACAAACGCATTGCTTTGTGCCTGCAGCATCATTAAGATACACCAGAGTTGTGATATGAGCATCAATCAGTTTCTCAAAACTGAATGGATCTGAAATTACCTCCTGATAGCAATAGCAAAGCCATTTTAATAGTCTCAACAGAGAATAATTGAGTTAAATACTTCTCTGTTGCCTAAAATGAAACCTGGGTGGGGTGTGTGTGGGGGGCTGCCTATTTAGAAACCGTTCTTCTGTTCTTTGGGGGCATTTTTCTGGTTCGCTCCCTGTGTGTGTTTATTTTGGGTCATTTACATGAGAATTGAAACCTCATTGCTTCTTAGAATATCATACAATCTCATTTTCCGTCTTGATGGAATAAATTTCAGGTCTCCATCTAGTAACGCAACCTGCCTTCACTGGCGCCCTTGCAAAGCTAGGAGTGAAGATTAGAGCTGTTGCCTGGGAGTGTTGTGTTCTGACTTAGAAATTTCACCAACTAAGTTGAGATGCATGCCTCAACTGCAGCTCATTTCAGTCTAAACCCCCCGCCAAATGTTTCCTTTGCTTTTAACATGATGGTGGTCTGGCCTCAAGCCCCAGTTTAATCGAGTTCTTGCCAGGGGACATACTTTAAGGACACAGATGTCCTTGAAAGTCAGTGTACAGTGATAGTATTAGGTTAAAGCGCTGCAGATCAAAACTTAACCCAGTTTAATCTTTTAATTGAGGGAAAAAAAAGTTTTCAGCTCGGTAGTATGCACATTAGTGGAAATGAACTCCCGATGAGAAGATTAGATTTTTGAGAAGTGTTTTCTTAAGTGAGGTTCACTCAGAGAGATGGCTAGCGTGTGACTCCTACCTTCACTGCATTGAGAGCTCCCTGGAGGGGAGCAATGTGTAAGCACGTGATTCTCCTGTACCAGGAAAATCATCACCTAACATGTGCCTCCACACTGCCGCCAGCCTAAGGCATCCTGATAAATAATCCCCAAAATAAAGTTGAGGTCTCCTGAAGTCAGTTCATTAGGGCTAAGAGACATCAGCATTTGCATTCCTAGCCCAGGAGAACTGCATAGGTTAGTCCACGAGGTGGGCACTGCCCTTATCCAAGATGCTTGGGCCCCGAAGTAATCTGATTTACAGTTCTCAGATTATTTGTGTATGCATAATGAGATTTTGTTCCACGTGCACCTTGTACACAAAGCCCCAAGATAATGCTGGGTGGTATTTTATAGTGTACCATCCTTTTTTATTGTAACCCATTGCATAGAAAATTTTCCATGTGTGCCATCATGTTGACATGCAGAAACTATCAGGGCTTTGAGTCCATGGAGCTTCATGGAATTAGGGAATGCTCAACACATTCTACTGTTGTTCATTGTACACGTTAATAGCACAAAAGCCAATGGAAGATTAGTAACTTTCCCCAGCAACCTCCAGGTTCAAGCACATCCTAGATTTGCAGTAGGTTATAGCATGTCTTGAGTTTTATACCAGCTAAAATGGCGGGCCCTTTATGAGCCTAAGAAATAGCTTCAGGAACCCTAAGCAATCCCTGATGTTAGCACTGGCCAGATTAAACCATCTGGGTGCAGATATATCTAGTAACGTGGGAAATACTCCAAGGTATTAATATAAACTAAACTTTCAACAACATTCCTATCGCTAAGCTGGTTTTCTCCCCCACACATCACTTCCACAGCATCCTTTCTTGATCAGGAGAATCTGAGCGGTTTCCCCTCCCAGAGGCATGGGAGTATTTGATATTTACAACTGGCTGATTTCCGTGTCTGTCTAAACCCAGCCATCCATCTCTACGGTCTCCTCAAGTTCATTTTCATTTTGTTCCTGGTGTTTTACTGTGTGTATTATTTCAGTTAAAAGTCTGCCGTGATAAACTAGCATGTTAGATGGCAGTTTAATTCGCGTTATTATGCAGTATGGGATAATTTCTTTGTTTGCTCAGGTAAAACGTTTTTCCTCTTCCGAATCGTCTTCAGAGGTTTTTAACTAATGGAGTTGATTTTTAATAGACTGTTTTTTAAGCACGCTTGGCTTTACAGAAAAGTTGCAAGAAAGGGGCAAATGCTTCTTGTATACTCCCGACTGTCTTAGTTGGGGTTACTGTTGCTGTGATGAAACGCCGTGACCAAAAAGCAAGTTGAGGGGAAAAGGATTTATTAGGCTTACACTTCCAGACTGTAGTCCATCACGTCAGGGCAGGAACTTAAGGAGTAGAGGAACCTGGATGCAGGAGCTGATGCAGAGCTCATGGGGGCAGGGGCCACTCACTGCCTTGCTCATCATGGCTAGCTCAGCCTGCTTTCTTATAAAACCCAGGATACCTGCCCAAGGTTGGCACTACGCACAATGGGCTGCCCGCCCCCGTCAGTCATTAATTAAGGAAATACCTTATGGCCAGATCTTATTTTCTTCATTGAAGTTCCCTCCTTTCAGATAACTCTAGCGTGTGTCAAGTTGACATCAAACTAGCCAGCCTAACTGACCCCTTGTCAACCTGTCACAGAAACACGTCATAACCTTTCCTTTCTCGTTCTTCCCCAAGATCACACATCAACATCACAACACATACATTCCACATTGGAAACGTCTTTTAAAACTCCTTTCTTTAAAATCCAAAGTCTTAAAATTCAGTCTCTCAACTGCGGGTTCCTGTAAAGTTAAGAAAAATAGTTAATTGCTTGCCTACTTCAAGGGGGAAGAATCAGGATGCAGTTCCAATGTGAACTCCAAAAATGTAAACAATTCAATATCCGATTATCTAGATTCATGATCTTCTGAGCTCTTCCAAGGGGCTTGGGTCCCTTCTCTGGGTCTGCTCGCTGTAGCACACACGGCTTCTCTTCTAGACTCAGGCTGGCTCCGTTGCTGGGGCTGTTCTTGATGGTCATCCCGTGAGACTGACATCTCAAAAACGGTGGGGTCTTCGGCTATCACTAGGCTTCACTTTCACCCATGGCCCCTCCTGGGCTCTCTCCAGGGGCTCCAACCCTGCCACCCAGTGCCCCTCAGCTGCTCTCCATGACCCTTTCACGCCATCAAAACTAGCACCACCTGACTGGGTGCCAGCTTCTCTGTGCTCTCAGGAAACCCTTCCCAGATTCCACCTAGGTGATGCCGATTTCTGAACCACAGCCCATTCTTCAGCCCCAGCAGATAAGAACCACAGATTCTTCACACCAAAGGCCCAGTAGAGTCTTTACTTCCTTCTGAAACCATCACAAGCCACCAGGGTTCCGCTGTCTGCGCTGGTCTCAATGTTCTTACCTTCTGAGCTCCTGCAGAACAGCTCACTGAGCTCTCAATACTCAATGGCTTTTC